CTGTGCCGCTGTGTGCTTTTCTGAGCCTCAATCTCAGAAATTACATTACTTTGTTTGAAACTGATTTTGATCAACACTTCAGAATATCCAAAGACATCTGTAATCTTGTTATCACAGGGTGATAAGGCGGAGAGTTTTTTCATTGTAGAATCTGGTGAAGTAAAGATCATGATTAAAAGCAAGGTGAGTTCAGTTATTTCTGGTATGATGGTTAAAATTTAGAGTAATTTAATATTTTTAAATATGTCCCATTGAGTTGACAAAGTTCAGGAATCTTTCCTGAAAACAGTCCTTACTGTGTCATATTCCACTTGTCTTGGGAGAAAGATGGAGGATGCCCAATGAAGAAACTATATATCAATCACCAATTATGGAAGCCTAAGATAGGATTTGAGAACAGAGTTGCAGTGGGATGGGAAAATAATCCTATTAAGTGGAAAAATCAAGCTTATTATGTAAAGCCCCTTTGTTTTAAATGCACTGTTAACATAGCCTGGAGAAGAGTGTTTGTTAATTTAGTAATGAGTTTCATCCTGCATATGTTGTTCTTTAATTTATTGTAAATCCATTTATACTTTATACAATCTGGTTTCCTTGAGCTATTTTGGTACTGTAATTCCTAGACTTTCCTAGCTAGTTATAGTGAGTGACTACATTTATTGTGAATTTTTGGGTAGCATTCCTAACACATCTAATGAGTACTAAGTTTAGAAAGGTCACTTACATTTTCACTAATAGAATTGCCTTTCCAGATGAATTTTTACTGGTAAATGTTTGGTTTAAGAAGTCCTTATTATATGTATGCAGTATTAGGGCTAATTTCTTGGCTTGACAAAAGAAACATTCTATGAACAGGTTACATGTCAAGAAATCAGGACTAGATCATATTAATTTGCTAATATAGACACACATTTCTGGATCACCTTATTTGCGGAGAGTGTTTCGCAATAAAGGGACCCCAAAGAATTTAATTCATTCAAGCTTTAATGCACGGGTCTTCAAACTTGGCCCTTTTATGACTTGTGGACCTCAACTCCCAGAATTCCTCAGCCAGCGTGCCTGGCTGAAGAATTCTGGGAGTTGACATCCACAAGTTATAAAAGGGCCACGTTTGAAGACCCCTGGTTTAATGTGACATCTGACAGATATGGAACTGAGAACAGGACAATCTCAAGATTTTGCGGAAGGGGAAATATTTTTGACAAAGTGTGTCAGCAAATAATCACGTCTGTGTTTTGAATTTCTGTTGTAGACTGTAACGGTAAAAGATGCAAACCAAGAGGTAGAGATTGCTCGATGTCAAAAAGGACAGTATTTTGGAGAGCTTGCACTTGTTACTAACAAACCAAGAGCAGCCTCTGCCTATGCTGTTGGGGAAGTCAAATGTTTAGGTAAGAACTCTGCTTTCCTTTGTGATAATTACTATTAGAATTGGATTCGGTTGGTTCTGTCATCCATACTGTTCTGTTTGGATCCACCATTTGTTTAAAATGGCTTCTTCACTTGTGATACAAATCAGTCGCAGTTCCAGGAATCCTTTGAATATATACTGTATATGGTGCTTGATTGGTAGAAAATTGGCATGAAGTTTCAAGAGATCTTTTTTCCCACTGTTAGCACCTCATGTTTCAGAGCATATTAGCATTTTATGGATCTCTTGATTAATAAGATACTGTATGGAGTTTCCATTTTTACTCAAGTTTCTAGGAATGTTAAAAGGAAGTGAGACGTTGCAACTACTCCCTTACTGAGCTAAATTTAAAGTAATTAAATAGCCCCAAACTACAGATTTTATAAGTTTGGACTTTGCAGATCTTGTAATAACTATCTACTTCAAAGATAGAGAAGGGGGGCATTTAATATAATATTTCCAAGATTCTTTTGTCAATCCTTGGGAATTCTTACTTATGGGACTGTTTTGTGATTGCTCTAATTTAAAGGTAATAACTGAATTACTGAGTCTGTAATCATGGCAAAATCAGGTGTTTAAAAATTCTCTTTGGTCACATATGCAAACAAAAAAGGCAGTTTTTATTCTTGTCCCATCACTTGTAATTCCATTTAATTAAATATCCCCTAAATTTGCATGATTCCCATCCTCTGAGCTTCCAAAAATCCTTAAAAATCTGGCTGTTCTCCTAGGCCTTGGGTTGCTGAGCCCCTACAGGTAGGGTTTTTTTCTGCTTTGTTTGGTCTTGCTCTGTTTTGAATATCTACAGTTGGTTTTCAGCTTTTTTTCCTTGCTTTTCAATTGTCAGTTGCTCAGAGTCGATTGGAGTTAGGGATATTTAAATAAAATCATTTATTCTCCAAGGATTTTTTTCCCCTGTTTTCCTGGGTAATTTATTTCATTGCTTTTTTTTTTAAGAAGAGCTGGGTTGGTTGGCAGCCTCCTTGGAACTAATGTCAAAATTTCTGTTCGCATTTCTCTGTATTTCTGTGCAGTTATGGATGTGCAAGCATTTGAGCGGTTACTCGGGCCCTGCATGGACATTATGAAGAGGAATATAACTCATTATGAAGAGCAGCTGGTGGCATTGTTTGGTTCAAGCATGGACCTGATCAATCCAGGCAATTAGGAGGAGAGTGCATCAATGCCTTCTCAGTTCAAGACGTAGAAAAGTCTCCTATTAGTAACAGCGCAGCACCACACAAATGAAAAAAGGACACTACGGGACAGTGGCTGTTGGTGTCTTCTTGGGCATTTTTTTTAGAAACCTACGCAGGTCTCAGCATAGCTGGAGGGTTCAGGGCTCACTCCAGGCCTCCGCTTTGCTGCTGAAATTTTGTTATTAGACCTAGCCCTACTGCTGAGTCTCTTAATCCTCTTTTCACATTGCTTGGTTCAGAATGGCATATGTTTCTCCCAACAATTCAAGTGCCTGATACTAAAGAAATGGAGCGGTCTATTTGTTGTTCTTGTTAAAAAAAAAAAAAAAAAAAAAAAGGAAGAACAAACTTTGAAATCAGAGATCTGGATGTTGGTGGCTGTTCCTACACTTGGAAACAGCTAACTGTCTTAACATTACCTTCTTGTTGACAGCTTTTTTTTCCCCTCACACGATCAGAATCTGATTTTAATAATGATACATTTGGATTTGAATGTCAAAAAGGAGGGGACATTTGTAGAAACAGTAGGTTAACCAGTTCTGGGTTTTTCCTTGTTCTTTTCTGGAAATGGGAGTGTGGTTCTTTAAAGCTGAAGGGTTCCAAAGGAACCTAGTTGATAAATAACGGGCAGTGAAGTAAAATGCTGAATTAAGCAGAGTTTTAAGGCTCCAGTGAATTTGAATCACAAGCCATGAGATTCAGGGGCCGCAAAGGTTGCGCAGAAGATTTGCTGCTGATTACTAAATTGGACTGATTTGTGGCCTGCTGAGAAACAGCAGAAATTTCTTTTAAATTTCTGTTTATGGAGATTCTTGGTACTTCTAGATTTTACATGGCATTGCCACTGGCAAAATCTGTTTTAATGCTTTTTTAAAAAAGAAAAAAAAGGGTTGGTTTTTTTTTGTAACTTAAAGAATATTTATATACTAATGGGGTCCATTATACTGTAATATTTTACAATATTGTGTAACAATTGGGTATAGACTTTCCAACTGCAATACCTGTTTGCTAAGTCCTTTTTGAAAATTAACAGCATTTTACTTCAAAAATGATTTTTTAAAAAGCTACAATAGAAAATAACCTCATTTCTGGGCAATTAACATTGTATTGGAGGCACTTTTTTGAATGCAGATTCATTTAGCTGCATATCTCTAAAATCTTGCTTGAATCAGCATGTACCTGTCAGTTTATATATAATTACTGAAGAGAAGTAACATCTTAAGTTTTACCCAAGTATTAACTGTGTAAGAAATTATCATAAAAATAATCTAAATGTAGCATCAGAAATTATTAGGGAAGAAGGTATTGATCCTGTATGAAATTACAATTCCATTCTCAGTGTTTCTCAACTTATATGTGTTTTAGGAATAAATTTTCATTAATTGTGGGTTTTCAGCTTAGAGAACAAATCAAAATTTAGTCATTGTGCGATCAAAATTTGATATATAATTCAGCCATTCTGAATTCCCATTGGCAATGCTATAAATCCAATTCATAGGTTGCCTTTTAGTCTGGAGCTTGTTTACCCCCTTTTTACAATTTCTAGTCTGTGTTATTAATTTAAGACTTAAATGTTTTATATGTTGTTGAATCAGGAAATAGCACTTGAAAGTATTTTTTTTTCTTTTTATAATCATTGCCATTGAAAAAGGTACTGAAGCCCTGGCCATCATATTTTATGCTTCTGGTTTTGTTTTGTTTTTCCAATATATCAATTTAAACCTAGCTACAATTTGAACATCTGAGGAAAAAATGCTTTATTTATGTAAAGATTTTACACCAAAGATTTTAAATGCATGCTTCTCAATTTGGGCAAACTATTACTTGGTTCTGAATCTCATAAAAGGGATTGGTGAGAAAAGGTAAGTAGTACAGCCTTTATTCTTATATAAGTAGCAAGTCATTTTTTAAAAATTTTCTCTTCAGGCTTGGCCAAGTTACAGCTGAACCGAACAAGTGTGTTCTAGAACCACCATTTTGGCTACAAAGGCATTCCTTTCCATTTCTTGCTCGAGTTCTTTTGTGTCTTTCGCCATGTGATGTAATTTAATAGGTTATACAATTGGGGTATCTCTCCCACCTAGTTAATCTTCAGCAACCACTTGCTGGGGTTGGAGTATTTTGAAGAAGATTCTACATTGGTAAGAAATGACCCAGGAAAAGTGAACTGAGGATATAATTCAAAGCCATTTTCAAAACGAAATCAGTAGGATGAATTAATACTAATTATACATGTTCTGCTTTAAACAAAAACCCTGTATTATTTTGAAAGCAAACAATTTGAAGGGTTGATTTGCAGAATCCCAAACTGGGTTTATCTTTTCAATTGGTGCAAAATCTTTTTATCTATGTGTGTTTGTGGCTGAACAACTGGTTATACGAATCACTTCCTTATGATAGTAGATCACTGACATTACTGTGAGTGTGAGAATTCTACCTTTAGGTCCAGTTAGAATAGATACTTTTGTCATTGGCTGATTTTAATACAAGTTCAACTCTTGGTCACATAGATTGATTATCGCATTAAAGAAATTATTTTTTAAAAGAGCCATTGGCATCTGTCAGAGTAGAAATTATTTATAATGTCTAACTTAAAATGACTTGTGCAGTATTTGGAATGAAAGCTAGAGCAATCATGTAAACATCTGTTCCTTCCTTTGTGGATTTCCCTTTCATTTTGCAAATCCAGCTGGATTTCAGCAAGATCGGTTATGAATAATTCATCTCCATCCTTGTATCCCTCTTTTAACTTGGCTTCATTAACTTCTCATGTTGCACATCATTTGAAAATGATGTGTAACCTTCTTTCCTAAGGGCAAATCTACTCTTCATTCATGGTGATGTCTAGCTTTAATAAGAGAACTCAGCAGCAAAGTGGCTAACCAGAGTGGTGTCTTCTGAGATTGTCTTTTTTAACTTAACTTATCTTTTTTGAGGTTTCTAGGAGGAGCTTATACTGTCCCTATTCTTGAGATACGTCTGTTGATGTCACAGCACAAATTTTCACAATGTATTAAAATGAAATCTAAAACAAATCGACAAGAAAGCGCAGCTTTGAGGGGGGGGGGAACCTGACGTCCATTTTGTCATCTTTTTTTTTCTTGAAATGTCTTTGTAAAATTAGTTTGACAAAAAATACAAGTTTTCTGGTCTTTTCCACTCCAGTTATTTTTTTGGTTGTGAATACTGTGTGTGTGTATGTGTGTAAGGCGAATGTTTCTGTTTATTCTAAGCACATGTTTCCTTTGAGGAGGCCTTTTATGTGGGTTCTCCTTAAGCAGGCTGTAGGGCTGTGCTGGACTTCGATCTTCCAGGGAAAAAAACCCACAGTCCCTAATCTGGCAGGAGCGTGACACATCTTTTCTGAACCGAGCTAAAGCTTAAAACCACGTGGATTGCTGTGGATACTTTCCAGCCTGGTCCAAAAGGTAATTTTAATTTTGCATAAAGATGCTACCTCAAGGCTCTTAAGAGCTTTAAATGTGTCTTGCCTGTGAGAAGGACACACATTGATTCTGATAAGCTGTTCTGTTGCATTAGGCAGGAGGCATATTTTTTGTCTTTTCGGGATGTGTGTGTGTGTATTTTAAATCATTTTTACCTCTGCCACATGGTTGTTTTCAAAGTGTGAGCAGTTTTGCAGAGAGATCTGTTCTTGCACTGTAGTGTTGCCCAAGATGGGAAGAAAGTATCTTCCACCTAAGACACTGGTCTCATTCTGATCTGAAGTTTGATTTTACTTTCAACTAATAAAAGCTGACATGCCATATCCGTCCTTTCTGACTGCAGTTTTGCATGTGTGGGTGTGCTTTCTTTAATCCAACCAATGCAGTCCTTTTGCCATTTTTTCAAAAGAGCAGTTATTCAGGTTTTGTTAAAAGCAGCAAATACTGAAAAGATAATGCATAGTGCAAGAACTAGGAATAATTCTTTTTCTTAAGAACAGTGTTGTTCTGAGATGGAAAAAAAATGCTGATTTAAATGCTTTTATCATAAGACACTTTTATCAACTAAGAAGCTTGCCATCTACAGGAACTCTCTGCTTTAACCTTCGTAGAGATGGCCACTTTTCCTGGAACAACCTATCCAGGGCTTTTTTTCTCATAGGGTAGGCAAGGCGGGTTGTATGACGTGTGTGAGTTACGGCACCTTTCTTTTTCTTTTTTTTTTAATAGAAAAAAAGCACTGAAGCTATCCCTAAATAGACATACTGCATTTTCAAAAACATCACGCGCAAGCAAGACTCTTCAAGAAGGCATTAGGAGCTGCTTGAAGATCTTGCTGCCTGCATCATGTCACATCAGTACCTTCTTCTTGTTAACATTATTCTTTCATGTTACTCAAGTGACGTGTAAAGTGAAATAATAAGCATGACCAAGTCAAGCAGCAGTGGTTCTGCCGGTACCTGGTCAGCTTGGGCTCTTCACTTTTGCATTGCCGTGATATCACAGGAAGCAGGAAATAAAATTTCAGTGAACTGGGAGAAAAAGATAAAAAGGTGAGATTTGTTAATCTAACTTAATCCAAAATAGCTTAATTTGGTGCGTTAGTTAAGCCACAAGGTTAGAAACTGGGACACTGTGAGTTCTAGTCTCAATTTAGGAATGGGGCCAGCTGGGTAACCTTCAGCTATTGAGTCCTTTTCAGCCTTAGGAAGAAGGCAGTGGCAAACTACTGAAAAGTTTGCAAAGAAAAATTTGGGGGAGCTAATCCAGAGGTCAACAGGAGTAAAGACTGACTTGAGGGTACCAAACATCCCATCATCTCCAAGAGAAGTGAAGTAGATGCAATCAACAGTGGGCGCACCACTGAGGATCACTGATTTTCAAACTTTAGTCTTCAACCACATGACATTCTTTTTCACCATGCTAGTGAAGTAGGTCTTTAACGTGCATATTTGTACAAAATGTTGCCACGAAGTCCTCGGTTATATTGCAGGCTCAGCATGCCCTCCAGGGAGGAATTTTTAAAACTATTATTAATCCTATATAAAATTGGAAAGATACAATGGAAATAATTAAATCCAGTTCCCTGGAGATGTAGCCCTTTGCTCCCTGCTAATCTAAAATTTCCTTTTGTCAGAGCAGGCTGAGGGCTTTTGTTGTTGCCGATTCATAAAGTCTGCCAAGCAGCCTTGTTCCATCTCTGTCATCCTTGGGATCTTTTTGATATCGGGGCCCCCTAAAATAAGTTGATTTCAGAGGAAATAGGTTGGAGTGCCTGTCAGCTGATTTATTTTCCTATTTGGAGCTCTGCCTCTGATATTGGAGAAAATTGAGGAATTTGTGGTTCTGGGTGACTGTGCCAGGAACCAT